GAATCTCAACTGGATTGGGAATAGTACTTTGGGACTAGCTTGTTGTTGTTTAGTCGTTTAGTCGTGTCCAACTCTTCGTGACCCCATGGACCAGAGCATGCCAGGCACTCCTGTCTTCCACTGCCTCCCGCAGTTTGGTCAAACTCATGCTGGTAGCTTCAAGAACACTGTCCAACCATCTCTTCCTCTGTCATCCCCTTCTCCTTGTGCCCTCAACCTTTCCCAGCGTCAGGGTCTTTTCCAGGGAGTTTTCTCTTCTCATGAGGTGGCCAAAGTATTGGAGCCTCAGCTTCAGGATCTGTCCTTCCAGTGAGCACTCACGGCTGATTTCCTTCAGAATGGATAGTTTTGATCTTCTTGCAGTCCATGGGACTCTCAAGAGTCTCCTCCACTCCTCCTTTGGGACTAGCTAGCCAAGGGAAATAGCTGGAAAAGGTGTGAATTTGAGGACTTTTCTCCCTTCCTCCTTGGCAGATGGGAGGAAAGCAGGTATAAAGAAAGTCAGGTAACATAAAAACACAACTAGGTGTGTCTATGTGTTGGCTCACTTTGGGGATCATGGACAACAATTACTTTCTCGGCCTTACTGGAGGTAAAGAGTCCACAGCAGACAAGGGATTGTTTTTAAGGGATAGAGTGCCTTGGGCTTGAGTTTGTGATACTGCAGTGGGAAGACATTTACAAGTTACAGAGTGACAAACCCTTTTTCAGAACAGATACTTGTTTTCCCTTTTAAGCAAGGTGTTTTTTTCAGGGGAACTCAGTTCCAGCACCTCTCAGGTGGGCAACATTTCCATTCTAAGAGAATGAGAGGTGCTCATGGTGATTTCCGGCATATATATATATATATATATAAAAATATATATAATTGCGCTGCTTTCAAGTAACATGTAACTCTGCAGATGTTTAATAACACATTGTGATACACAAAGCATATTTTTCCTTTGAACATGTAAGATTTTCTTTCAAAGTCTGGGGAAATAGTCACGGAGGTGTTCTGTGTTTGTTTGATGTGGAACATTCATCAACATTAACATCATGAATCTGTCAAAATAAAAAACAAAAAAGGGTTTTTAATATTTCAAGAGCATCATGTCCATAGCTTGCATTGAAATTTTAATTACCAGGAAAATCGCCAAGAAATTATATTTCCCACTCAGCTCCAGCTGATTTGCACACTAGTCTTCTCATTTGACAAAATTCCCAGCTATAAAGAAAGAAACTCGTTTAATTATCTTCTAAATTATCACTTTTAAAAGACAAAAACTGATATTTATTCACTTAGAACAACAAATATTCATCAGGACAGACTTGAATGGCAGCCTAATCCAAATAGCAGAAGCAGTTTAACACAGCCATTTCATGATGCAACAGAAGAAAGAAGTGTAAAATAAAGGAACGGATCTTTTAATCCTTGTAAGTTCCCAGGGGGCACTAACTAAATTCCCTGTGGTTTTCCAAAATACAGCAAGCAAGTTGCCTACTGGTGCAGGTCAGCAGGACAGGGATTAACAGCAGAAACGACTCTGAAAAATATATGGCAGATTCTGTGGTTAGGCTCTTTTTAAATTAAAGGAGAGAGAGGGGAAAGCCCTTTCCATAACTGGCATCCTTCACAACCACCTCAGCATGCAAGTGAACAGCTGCATGGATGCAGAATATGAACTAAGCTTCTCATACCATGGAAATCACTTTCAAGTCAGAGATGAGGCACATTTATGAGGTAGGCTGCAAGAACGTTGTAGTTCTATTATCAGTGAAGAGGAGATAAATTGAAAACTTCAGACTTTCTTATACATGTCTACTCAGAAGTAATTCGCATGAGGCTGATGGGTTCCTTGCAGTAAGATGGTGTAGGATTGCACCCTCTTTAAATGTCTTTTAAGAGGTTTGGTTGGTGCTTTTTGTGGTAAAATAATCAGAACATTCCTCATGTACATCTAACATAGGAGCAAACTAAAAATTCAGGAAATATTAGCCAGTTCTTGAATTCTTTAATGCAGTGCAGAATTTATGTGATCTTGTTATTCGGTTGATATTTTGTGTGTATTGCCTAAAGTCCTTATTCTGGATTAGAGCTGAACATTTTATTTTACGTGTGCATGATGTTGTTATATCTTGAAAGAACCCCCCAAAAAGTGGGGAAGTGAACATCATTGGACAGCGTCACTACTATCTTATTCTCTGCCCCACCCCACCCCTTGTTTCTCTTATGAATTCAGCAGAAATAACTGCATGCTATTAACCTGCCTCAAATTTCATCACTTTACTCCCACAATTTTCTGGGATTTTTATTTTTTTATTTTTTGAAGCAATTAACACAGAAATTACCACCAAACATTCAACATTTCCCCTAAAGGTTTCCAGTAGTGGCTTCTATGTCACGCGAAAGCTCAAATAAAGTGCAAAAATTAGCAGTTAGGGAAATGTCATGGAAACGGAATCTACTTCTGTGTAAATGCAGCCTATGTTTCAAACAATACAGACAGTACTGTGTTTCTTTCTCTCCTGTACAAATAGTTTGCCACTTGCTCCCCAGGCCCTGCAGGTATGTCTGTGCTTCTGTCCAATGCTGAACTGGAACTGCCTTTTGCTCTGCAGATTATATGTCCGCTTCTGGGCCTGCAACAGATTAGTTCCATGAGCTACTTCCACTGGGCCCAATTTTCAGCCATATCTCCATTATCAAAGTCCATAGGAGATGGTTGCCAGGTGCTGGAGGCCATCTTTGATATTTGCTGTGGTGTTTTCATCTTGTAGCTCTGCTTTTCTCTGGCCTCTTGTTAGATCCCTGTTTTCTCACAAACAGACAGATACTATCCTGTCTTTGTAACAAGAACAACTTTCATTTGGTACTTTTTCTTTTAACAACAGCATAGTGTGCACTCTATTGCCCTCTCTGGTAGCCTGAGAGAATATTCTGAAATTTATAGTCATTCCTTTTATTTCACTTCTCAGACTTCCACTGCCAGTTGTCATCAAAGGGACAGGGGGACGGTGCTCCAGAGGGTCTGCCCACAGATGTCACAATATCAAACCTTGACTATTTTGGATTTCTGAAAAGCTAACTAAAAAAAAAAAATGTCACCAGATTTTTGAGGGACTAGGAAAGACAGGGAAGTTGCTTTGAGAGAGAAACACAAAATGAAAAATGTGGCTATTAGGATTCTACCAAACTGGAGGGAAGAGAATTTTTTTCTTCCTCTCTTTTCCATCTGTTTACCTTCGTTGTTCTTCCTTAAATTAATAAACATTTTTGTTCTTGGGGGAAAGTGACCAGCTTCTGTCTACTCACAGCTGCTAACCTACAGAGACTCTGACAGTGGCCTCTAAGAACTCTCATTATTATACAAATTAATAATAATAGGCAAGGTAATGAGATCTGCAAAATGAATTTAAACAGGGCACTTTCCCATAAGGTTACCAAGAGATGGATCTGTTGAAGGTCACAGAACTGGTGCACTTAAGCAGATAGAAAGAAAGAAACTTAGTTCAGGTTTGTGCTTGGTTTTTCCTCTAGTTTTCATCTCTCTATGAAGCTGGTCTAATCATATCTATACTTTTCTTCTTAATAACACACATTTTTTTTCAATTGCAGCAGACTTTTCATTCTTATGCTCTTGTTTGTTTCTCTTTAATTGTACATTTCTTTTTCAGTCATTTATGGGACGGCAATAGCAAGGAACAAGTTTCCCAACCCACTCTGAGGACCCCATTTCATAAATCACACAATCATTTCTGAAGAGAAAATGGCAAAGAGGCTTTACAAAAGTATGTCCGTTTGTTAGGATCACAGATTACTATACAAACACATTCCATATGTTACCATAGTACTGTTAATGTACAAGGGTGAGTCTTTTAAAAGAGGCCCCGTGGAACATGTGTACTCTGTATCCACGGGGCCACTTTTAAAGGGCTCACCCTGTACTTATAACCCTGCTTTTGCCCTAGGAGCTCAGAGTGGCATATGTGTCTCTTCCCATTTTGTTTTGTCCTAACAACTAACCTCTACAGTAGGTTGGGCTGAGAGAATTTGACTTGGCCCAAGATCACCCAGTGAGATTTATGGCAGAGTTAGGATTTGAACCTGAGTCTTCCCACACCTTCTCTGACCACTACATATTTCCGTATTCTAAAATTCACAATATATTTCCTATTTATTTATAATATGTATTATGGCTGGGGAGGACGACCCTCCCCAAGTCTCCAGCTGCATCAGCCCATGGCAAGCCAGCTACCTATACCTACTAACATGCACATGATCTAATATTAGCATGCCACACTCTATGTAGGATGGTAGCTTCACATAGTCACCTTGCATGGGCTAAATTATACAGAGGTGGGCCTATACAAACCTTTACCTACAGTCACTGGATGCTGCAAATATTTGTGGAAACAGGTGCTGTGTTAGGTCTGCCTCAGCACGTATGTAATATGCTGGGTGTCATGGTTTCTCTGATGCTCAGTTCCACACAAGCAAACATCTCACTAAAGGTCTCGTTTCCAGCTTTTAGCTACAACACCCTTAAAAGTAAGCAAGACAAATCACAGGACAGCGTTTTGTTGGGTGTGGGTGGGTACAATAATGCCTTTGCATGAAATGAACCCTCAGTATTTAAAATAGGGTGTTCAGCATGTTGTACAAAGCAACACTTGGTAACTTGTAAATTATTTCCTTTGATATTTACCTCCTGATATGTAGCTTAAAAAAAATCAAAATTCCTAAAGGCATAGCCAAACTGAACACACACACACTGTATGTGTGTCTCTCTGTGTGTGTGTACGCACACACACACAGAAAGAGACAGAGAGAGAGAGAGAGAGAGAGAGAGAGAGAGAGAACATCAGAACATCAGCCATGGAGGAGGAAGCATTTTCTTCTTTAGTGAGAGTTGCAAAAGCTTGTATATACAGCTCAAAGGGATATAAAAACAATAACAGGGATATTCAGTTTTCAAAAATTATTGGCCAACCTAGGACCAGTTTTTAAATGACTGAGCTGTTGATTTAAGCAGAGTCTCGTGCCCAGCGGAAGGATGAGGAATACGTGCTGCATACTCTATATTGCTTTATTTACAGTTCAAAGCTGGTATATTACAGAAAGACATCTTGCCTCTGCCGGAGCAGAAAATGCATCCTCTCTCCTCGACAGCTCGGAGAGAATCACACAGTGAAAAACAGGAAACCAGTGTACGTCACATCCAGTCTCCCTTTCCCGTGAGAAACTCCAACAGTACAGACTGTGGAATGTAAACACCTGTCTCGTGACAAGCAGAGCTGCACAGTGAAGGAAAGCAGAAACCAACATCCTCCCCTTTCTGTGAACATCACTGGGCAGCGTGTTTGTACAATATCAGTACAAACCCAACTTCTGCACATAGGTACAGTGTTGATCCCTCGATACAATCTTGGACAATACATCAGCAGGAATTTCATTACCTGGCATATAGGACACCGTTACGAGTCCCTTCTGAATACATTCCCTAGCATGCTGCAACTTTAATTGTAAGTGCTTTGTGCTTTGCTTACAACCTTCAGACTTCAGCAAAGCCAAACATGCTTTGTTGTCCTGGTAAACCTGGATTGGACATTTGACAGGAATTTTCATATCTTTGCACAATTGTACTAACCATTCACAATCCTTAAGTGAATAAGACAGTGCATTCAGTTCGGCTTCACAAGTACTTAAGCTAACTGTTGTTTGCTTCTTGCATGACCAATCAAACAGACCCTGATTGTACATGTAGCAAACTCCAGACGTACTTTTCCTGTCTGTAGTGTCACTTCCAAAACTTGCATCTGCAAATATCTCAAGACCACCAGACTTCTGATTGTTAAATCTCAGTCTGTAATGCATAGTGCCTTTCAAATACCGCGCTATGCGTTTCAGAGCTTTCCAATCCTTGACACTAGGATTGTTGACTTGTCTGCTTAGCAAATTACAGCTAACAGCAATGTCTGGTCTTGAACATCTGGCAATGAAGTTTAGCTTGCCTAGCACACTCCTGTACAGTGTAGTGTCAGAAAATGCTTCTTCAGTGTCATCTACCTGATAACCTGTTGTCATCGGTGTGTCTACAGGGTTAGCATCCATCAGATTTAGTTTGCTTAACACATCAGCAATTTTCCGTGACTGGTGTACTAGAATGTTACCATCTTGATCTCTCTCTATTTCCAGAGATAGGTAGTTGTTTACCTCACCAAGATCTTTCATGTCAAAGTGCTCTTTCAGTTGAGCTAGGGCGCTATTGTACATTGCAACATCTTTCCAAAAGAATAATAAATCATCAACATAAAACAAACAGTACAGTTTCTTTTGCCCCTCCTCTTTGACAAATACACATGGATCAGCTTCCCTTGCTGAAAACCTAGAGAAAACAATACTTCAGTGAGTTTTGTGTGCCAACACCGTGCACTTTGTTTGAGACCATAAAGGGATTTCTTCAGAGCACAAACAAATCCCTGTTTTACCTGTACGCCATCAGGTGGAAGCATATAAAGTGATTCATCTAGAGATCCGTACAGAAAAGCTGTATTAATATCATGGTGACTAATGTGTAGATTTTCCTCTGCAGCTAGCTTGAGCATAAGCCTAATGCTTTCATATCTCACTGTGGGTGAATAGGTCTCGTGATAGTCTTCACCTGGTACCTGTGCAAAACCTCTGGCTACCAATCTGGCTTTGTGTCTGACTATCTTGCCATTTTGATCTGTCTTCGCTTTGAAGACCCATTTGCTTCCAAGCAGTTTCATTCCTGGAACTACTGGAACTAGCTCCCATGTTTTGTTCCTTTCTAAGGAATCAAGCTCAGCCTTCATGGCATTTAACCATGGCTCAGCTTCCTTTGAATCCAAACCCTGGATTTCTTGGAAACTTGAAGGTTCAAATACCTTCTTGGAGCTTTTAACAGCTGTTACTGCTATCGTAGCAAACTCATCAGCAAATCTCTTTGGAGGTTTGCCTTTTGTGGCTCTCTGTGACCTACGAATTAGCCTTAAGTCTTCAACACTCTCCTCTTCCTTCTTAGGAGAAAAACGACCTATTGTGAACAATGGTTCCTCCAATTCTTGATCAGAGCTTTCAGAGGGTCGCATAGAGGCTTTCGCACTCTCGAAATCCTCTGAATCACCCGATTCAGTTTCAGATTCAGACTCAGAACTTTCATCAGTGGGTGTGGGTTGTTGTGGTTGCTTTTGACTATCCTCAGTCTCATCACCGTCATCAGGATAACATTGGAAAATTCCCACATTCTCCCCCCACTGTGCATTGTACTCAACACTTCTCGTGAGCTTAATTGTCTTAGAGTCAGTCATCATTATTCTGTAAGACCCTTTCTGATAACCTAGAAAGATACCATGCAATCCACGCTTGTCTAACTTGGAGTTTTGTGGTGAGCGAACCCACATGTCAGAACCAAAATCTTCATGTGTTTGATGTATGGCTTCTTGCCAAACATCTTCTCATAGGGGGTACAACCAATCGCTGAAGATAACCTGCGATTGTAACTGTAAACAAAACACGAGAGAGATTCGGCCCAATAACTCTCTGGAAGATTGGCATCATGCAGCAAGGTTTTTAACCCTTGAAGCAATGTCTGATTTGCCCGTTCCGCAAGTCCATTCTGCCATGGCGAGCGAGGACTAGACAAATCGTGTTGAATTCCTTTCTCAGTCAGAAAAGCTTCAAACTGCTGAGAAGTGAATTCCCCCCCGCGATCACTGAAAAGAGTCTTTATCTTCTTACCATGCACATTTTCCAACCAAGCACAGAATTCCTTGAACCTAGGAAAAGCCTCCGATTTCTGCTTGAGATTGTACACAAAAATATATCTAGAAAATGCATCAATGAGAACCATGAAGTATCTATTTCCACCCAAAGAGGGCGCTAGTGGTCCAACCAAATCAGCATGAACAACCTGGTATGGTTCTGTAGCTTTCCTACTAGACACCTTACCTTTCGCAGCCATTTTCACCTTGTTTGCTGCGCATGCTTTGCACTTCATGTGGTACCTGCAGGGTTTAATAGTCATACCTTCAACCAAGGCAGGCATTTTAGATACTGCCTCAAAATGCAAATGACCAAATTTTCGATGAAAATCGTGAATACATTCTGCATGCAAACTTTTGTTAGAACCTGCAATGCAACAAGTGTCATCCTGCACCACATCATCATAATACAAAACAAACAAACGATCAACATATTCTGCATGCAATACATAATCATTTTTCTTTGTGATGATGCACTTCTTGTTCTTGAAGGAAACGTCAATGTTCCGCTCATTCAGCTGTCCAACGCTGAGCAGATTATGTTTGGCGTCTGGCACGTAAAGCACATTCTGTATCGATAAGTCCAAACTGTGAAGAACAACAGTTCCGTAGCCTTTACTGGGAATAGTGTGGTCATCCGCCTGGTGAATCGCACCTTCCTGCGGTGTAAAAGACACAAACAGTCTCTTATCGTTGCACATGTGGTGGGTGGCCGCTGAATCAACAACGAAGAAAGATCTAGACGTCTTCTGGACCTCTGCAACCTTTGGAGTGAAGCGTGAAACCATAGCCTTGTGCTGCGTTGTCCTAGACACCGGACCTTTGCCTTTGCCTCGGCCTTTTCCGCGCGATGAGCTTTCGCTGCGCTGCTCTGTCTTGGCCCTGGGATGTCTGCATTCCCTCTTCATATGGCCTAGACGTCCACACGAGTAGCATTTCACTGCCTTCAAAGCTTTGGCGCCATCTGGTGGTTCCACTGCACTATGGGATGACGTCTGTGAAGACTCCCCCTTGCCCATGCAGCTAGCACCCCGGCGATCTGCTTCATTTAAAATCACGGCAGTAACAAAGTCCACTGTCAGCTGAGCAGTTGGTTGCACAGCAATCTGGGTTGCAACAGACTCCCAACCTGAACCCAAAGATTGTAGTATCATGAAAGAATACACAGCCTCTGGAAAGTTGAGTCCTCTCTGTTGCAGCTCATGTCTCAGATTTTGCATCTCCATCAGATGTAAACGCACATCTCCACCTTCAGCAAGAGCCATATTATGCAGCTTGTTAAAGTAAAACATAGTGGATCCAGCTTCTGTCCTTAAGTGAGCCTCTCTCAAAGCGTCCCAAATTTCTCTGGCTGAGGTCTTATCACGCAATAGACAGAGCTCTTCTGGGGATACTATCAATGTAAGAGTTCCCCTTGCTTTGGAATCCTTAGCTTCCCATGCATCTGTAACTGGAACTGGGGGGGTTTCTGTAATCACCTCAAACAAACCCTCTTTCCGCAGAATTGCCTCTGCATACTGAACTCAGTCGCTGTAATTTTTCTTGTTGAGCTTAGGAATCCCACAAGCATCCTGAAGGGCCATCATGACTCTGGCATTAGCCTTCAGCGTCATATGCTGCTTTAAATCTTGCTGCGTCACTGCTGCAGCTGCCTTATTACAAAGGCACACTTAAAAGTTACTTTCGATTTCCCCAGCATAGTGACTTGTGCCTGGGAGCCTTTTGCCTATTCCCGGCAAAACCGGCTTTAAAAGTTCAAAGTCCAGCCATAAAGCCATTAACTTGAAGCTGGCAGGCTGCCCGGAGCAGTAGCACATACCTCATCAATCACTTCTACGCGCAGAGCAGATTCCGTTCCGATCTGTCCCTCTGCATTCCGATCCTTTGCCGGCACTCCGATTCGACTTCTGGAGCCCATAACCACGTGTTGATTTAAGCAGAGTCTCGTGCCCAGCGGAAGGATGAGGAATACGTGCTGCATACTCTATATTGCTTTATTTACAGTTCAAAGCTGGTATATTACAGAAAGACATCTTGCCTCTGCCGGAGCAGAAAATGCATCCTCTCTCCTCGACAGCTCGGAGAGAATCACACAGTGAAAAACAGGAAACCAGTGTACGTCACATCCAGTCTCCCTTTCCCGTGAGAAACTCCAACAGTACAGACTGTGGAATGTAAACACCTGTCTCGTGACAAGCAGAGCTGCACAGTGAAGGAAAGCAGAAACCAACATGAGCCCCCTGTGATTGTCGCCTTCCAGAATTGCCTTGGCTCATTCTCTGGGCTCTGAGTTTTCTGTGCCCCATCAGTACGCCAGCCCCTACAGAAATTACTTATTGTGATAATATTGCTACAATTCCTATGGACCCAGAATTATGGGAATTGGTAAAAATTAAACCAAAGCAGGTTGCAAACGGCCTATTTAATTTCAGCTGCCACAGGCAGACAGTTGCTGATTTCTGCAAACTGTTATCCCACCCTCCAAGAATGGCTGTCATCTCTCCGCTGTGTAAGCCTTGGTCATGGGTATCTGTCGCCTCTGTTGCACAAAGCAACAACTGCCTCTAGACTGTAATAGGCTGATTTATCACTGTCAGGGGTTTATTTTATTATTTTATTTTAAATGACTATCATTATTAAGGCTCCTTTTGAGATTACATACATATTTATAAGTACATTATGCTAGGCTGAGGAAATCATTTCCAGGCTTATAAGAGAGCACTATTAGGGTCATGAAGTTTTTACAGCTTATTTGGTGTTTGTTAAGTGGTACTGGAGCTTTCCCATTCCCTCTGTATGGTAATTGCTGTCTGTAATTGAGAGCATCTGCTGTGTCTACTGCAAAGGGCATTGTTTTCATATTGATCTGTCATTTTCCTTCAGCCAAATAGGAGGAGATTTTTATCTTGATGACTAGCAACCGCCGTGTTCATTTGAATGTATCACAGCAAAGAAGGATGTCAAGGTGCCCTCCTATGGAGGCAACACTTCTTCCACTGCTGTATTCCATCCATTCCCTTCTATGCTAACAGCAGCCACCCATGTCATCCTGGGTTGCTGTTAGGTCCAGCTTCTGTGTAACTGAGGGGGACAAAGAGCTGTTCTCCCAGCTGCTCTGATCCGTAAGCAAGCCTTGACCCACAACTTTTCTAGGGGTCAGAAGGTGCATTACCCATCACACTCTAGCTAGCTTATCAGTGCTGGGAGGCTCCCGTGGCTGGTGTGTCTTTTGACCTATGGACTATACCCATTGGTTTCATCTAATAAGCTGCTGCTATCAAAGTCTATCACAGCCAATTACAGATAGGTAGCCGTGTTGGTCTGCCATAGTCAAAATAAAAAAAATTCCTTCCAGTAGCACCTTTAAGACCAACTAAGTTAGTTCTTGGTATGAGCTTTCGTGTGCAAGCACACTTCTTCAGATACGAAAGCTCTTTGCACACGAAAGCTCATACCAAGAACTAACTTAGTTGGTCTTAAAGGTGCTACTGGAAGGAATTTTTTTTATTTTATCACAGCCAATGTAATTCTTATTTTTAAAAGTAATTAGACTTAAGACCCATAAAGAAACAACAGACCATTGCCTAGATTACTTGGATCCATTCCAGTCTGGCTTCAGGCCTGGTCATGGCACAGAAGCTGCCTTGGTCACCCTCGTTGATGACATTTATCAGGAGAGAGAGGCAGGGACCCTGATTGTTCTCCTTGATCTCTCAGCGGCTTTTGATACTGTTGACCATGGTATTCTTCTAGAGCAGTGTTTCCCAAAGTTGGGTCTCCAGCTGTTTTTGGACTACAACTCCCATCATCTCTAGCTAGCAGGAGCAGTAGGTTGGGGGAGCTGTGTTTTAGTGGCTCTGCTCCTACCCCCAAGGTCATTTCCAGAAAATAGTCCTGAGAGGCTACGGTTCAGCACCATGGACAATGTCATGTGATGCCCTCCACCCCCAAATGCTAGTTAACATTTATATGAATTCATAGAATGCTGAAGGTGTGCTTCTTTCCCCTGGTTTTTGACATTTAAGGTGTATATTTTTAGGAACCTCCTTATTTCTGTAATTGTTAATTGTTCTGAGCTGTTTTTTTAATATTGTGTGATACTGGATTTTAATATTAATCTTGGGTTTTAATTCCAGTAACCCACCCTGGGACCTTATGGTGAAGGGCAGGCAATAATAAACTGTAACAACTACAACATGTATTATTATTTGAAATTTGGGCTGAGCTGAAACTTTTCAAGGTTTTGGAAACAATTTTGGCAATGTTAATGTCTCTCACTTTGACGATTTTTGCAGTCTTTGCCATGAAAAAAAATAATGGCTCAATTACTCATTTAATGCATTTGGTGATATTTCCAAGCCAAATCTGTTTGGATACACAGCATTGTTACGTTATCCAGTTCATGAAGTGAGCCTTGATGGGGAGGAATTGTCCATGTGACTAATCCAGGAAGGAAAAAGGAAAAGCAGCCACTGGAAACATTAACATTGAACAGTATTGGAAATCTAACTTAACATAAAAACATAGGAAGATCCCTGCTGGGCCAGACTAAAGATCTATCTTTTCCAACATCCTGTTTTCACAGTGGACAACCAGATGTCTATGGGACCTAAGCAAGACCTAAGCACAAATAGCATTCTCCCAACCATGATCCCCAGCAATTATTATTCAGAAGCATTCTTGCATCTGGTGCTAGAGGTAATATGGCCATTTATGGCCTTATCCTCCATGAAATACCCTCACTCTTCATTGTATTATTTTTCAGGAGGAATGTCAACCCCACCTAAATTTCTTGTTTTAACCCAAAAATCAAAAGTGGAGAATATTCAGTATTGCTATTTTTTAAAAAATATTTTATAAATTCCTCTGGTCATTTACACTGACTATATTGGCTACTCTGTTTTTACAGCTGATCATTATCAGCCAGTTTGAAAACTTTTCCAAGTCAATCAGTATTTCAGTGCTATCATTGTAATACGCCATTACATCCCAGCCATTATAAATCTTATTCAAGGTTCAACAATTCCGACAGGTGGTAGTGTTTAATTCTGTAACCAATTGTGTCAGCTAGGTATACTCAATGACAAAAGTACCCAAGCATAAAACTTTGAGGTCAGACATTTTCACAAACCTTCTGTTAATGCTTCACCTTCATATTGACTATTGTAGGTTCAAATGGAAATACAATGGGCACAATAGTAATAAGTTTGGGCCTCAGAAAGGATTTATTCTGGCTCCCTAATGTACATGATCCAACACATGTTTGCAATACACGCCTACCTCTGTTTTTCACCTCTCCCCTGCCCAAAACTATCTAGGTACACACTGGGTGTGGGGGGGAGAGAAGTAGTTTGTGAATCTGCCTTTAGAAACTAGATGTACTTTCACAGCTGCTTCATACAATACATGCATGACCCTTCAAAGTTATACATTTTTAAATCCAGGCTCAATGGGACAAGCTTTCAGTACATGCTTAACTCTCCCATCCAAATGAATAGGACTCAGAAGCTCTTGTTTTTTGGTTCAATCATGCCCTGTGTTTTCAATAACTCAATGGGTTTATGACAAATGCAGATGTCCAACTTTCTATATGAGTTATGTGTGTCATGGAATCAGGAATGGCTGTAGCTCCCACCACATGTATGAATGGCAGAAAACACACATTTTCCTACCATGTAACAGATGACATTGAGACCAGTTTACTGGCAAAGAGTGGGGAGGAAAATGGAAACCAAGACAAGGGGGAGTTACGGATAGCCTTGCACAATCCTTCTGAAAACTATGTTCAATTTCTGTTCTCTTTTTTGCACATCACTGCCAGTAGCTAAGCCTCTACAGGCAGCATTTGGCCCTCATTTACAACTGGTTGTGTGCCTGCATAAATGTGATTGAGGCTTAATCAACTTTATGGATGCACAACTGCTAATAGAATCTTGCTCATTCTCTTTGCTGTATTTGGCTTTGCATCACTAGCTGAATTAAAAAGCAATAAAAGCGGGGGGGGGGGGGGAGGTTGCCACAAAAAAAATAAGCAAACCTGGCACTTAATGTAAATAGGGAACAGATATTATCAGAGCAGGATGGTGACTATTCTTTTAATAGCTACCTTTCAGAACAGAATGACACTTTGAAAACATTGCATTAACATTGCGCTGAACTTGGGAATAAATGTAAGTACAATGATTTGACGTCAACTCAAGAGAACAGTGTTTTCGTAAATTTCTGACAAATCTATCTTTAAAGCAGTGACTTGGAAGGCAAAGCCAGATGAAGTTGTATGGCTTCTTCACTCACTGCGCTGCTTGTAGTATTAATGAGCACACTAATTGGAAAGTTGATAACTTTTAACTACTGTTATCTGACACACATTGTGAAGTAGAAAAAGAATATACTAGAAATGCTATTAATAGCTAGGTGGCATCTTCAGGTTGGGAAACTTTTTAGTTCTGAGGCTTACGAAAGTCTATGTAAGAATGGACAGATTGGTCTATTTCCAGTTCATGACGGTTTTTCATGTGGTCATTCATAAATTCATTTCATTCCATTTTTTTTTAAACAAAGGTGTATTTTAAAACATATTTATCTCAATATACACATTTCTAGACATGTGAATTATCAACACACTTTGGTATGTTTTTCAAGCTGAGACCTGTATCTCAAAAGCTCAAAATCTACACATTAGTGCAGGAAGTGTGGATCAGGTTAATTCACATTGGAATTCACAAGAAATCAAATTTGTCAAGCATCCCTAAGACTAAGATACAGTTTGCATTTCACTTATCAGCACCAAATATCCCTGGCCAAGTGACTTCAGAGCAATTCTAGAAAAGGAATTCTTATTTCTAAAACCACCTTTGACCTGGCAGCAAGCAGCAGCATCGAATTGCTACGTTCTAAATCGGGTCCTGTGTTGCTGGTGATTAATATGAAATTTTGTTGAAACCACTTTGCAGTATTTTTTATTTATTTATTTTTTTGGCATTGGCTTGTTCCATTCCATAATGGTACATTACTTTTACTTAGGAGTCTTTATTCATGAATGTGAAAATGATCTAAAAGCATGTCTACTCAACAGCTTGGAGACATAAGGAAGATTAAACAGACAGAACTTTTGCTTCTCAACATCAGCCAGTGAGCCTGTGATTAATATAACATGTCAAGCATTGTAACACTGCACAGTGTTAGTCTTTTGAGTTTCCACTTTCCTTGTGCAGGAGACGTTACAGAT